AGAGAGTGTCTTGGTAGGCGAGCATGTCGCAGCGGTAAAAGGCGGAGAGATCAGAGCCGACGCGAAGAGCCACCGCTTGGTGCTTCGACGGTCCGGCAGTGTTCTGGAAGGTAATGTCTCTCGCCAAGAACCCTCCTCCCACCGCCGCTGCAATATTACATCACATAACATCCAATATAACAATTTTCAACACGAATATAACTCAAATTTGAGACACCTTAATTCTTCACTTGACTACAAAATTTAGTATACATTTTAAACTTTAAAAATCAATTAGACATTGAAAAATTTTTGGAGATGCTTTTTTTTTCCTTTATTTGAAAGGTAATTTTCGGGGATGTTGGTTATTGTTTTATTAGAAAAGAAGGAAAAAAAAAAAAAAGAGACTACGCTTATAATTTACAAAGTTGAAAATGAAAAGTGTACGACTTGTCGGATCCCACTCCCACATGGGCTTTCATTTTCAAATGCACCAAATAAAGCTCGACATTTATTTCTATTTTTTTTTTAATTTCGACATTTATTTCTAGTTATGAGATAAGATTTAGGGTGGTAGTCCCACTAATGGAAAATTAAATATGCAGCTAAGTTTTTTAGTGTTACGTATGCAAATTTCATGTGGTTGGTACAATGGATTATAAAAATACATTATACATGTATGAGCCTAAAAAGGGTACACAAGGTGCACCTAACATGATGAAGCGCGGATTATGTTATTCTTTTTATCTGCGTATTTTTATTTGTTGTGCGAAATGAAAAATTATAATTTTTTTCCAAAGACATTTTAAATGTTCGTGTTTCTCAATACATGGTTGTAACAAGAAATTTTATTGCATGAGGTTAATATGTAATTTTATCATTTTGTACCACAACTTCTCAATTTTGATATTAAGAGAAAAAAAAGTGTAATTTATTGTTAAGCTATAATTATTGATTATGTTTTTACATTTTTCAATATATATTTTCTTTTTGTTAAAATACTATCTAGTTTCCCTACTTTCAAAATATTTGTTTATTTGTTTATTTTGATTAATTTTAGTTTATATACTTTCAAAATATTCAGTTTGATCCATATATGCTTTGACCGAATCTCAAAATATATTACAATTTCAATACGACACTACACTCAAGATATTTATTAAAATGTAACTATTATTTTAAACTAAATGGTTTTCGTGAGGGGTAGAATTTGTATTAAAATTTAAAAAAAATAACTAAAATGATCACCATTACCATAACTAAAATGAGTTGAAATTACAATAGTAAAATAAAATAAGTTGAAAGCAATGTAACCAAAATACTATTTTAACATGTTTTTAAAAATACATTACAATTGTAAATTTTTTGAAATATATTTGAAAGCACATTTGAATTATAATGCTTATTTATATTTTATATGTTATCTATGTAAATGTATGTATGTTTATAATATAATGTTGTGAAGGAATTAAAATGGTGGAAAAGTAAGATGTGTTGGTTACCAACGGTGGCGGAGTTGAAGGTGGTGCTGCCGTCGACGACATTTCTGTTTCCGGTGATAATGGTGGTGGTTCTTCCATCTCCCCAAAACATTATATTCCTCTTGTTACTCGGCACATTCACATTTTCCCTATATACCCCCGCCTTGATCCTTATTATATATCTCCGACTACTCTTGGCCGGCGCAGCCGCAACCGCCGCCGATACCGTCCGGAAATCCCCACTCCCATCGGCTGCCACCACCGCGTCCGGCGTCGCCGACCACGAGGCCTGCAAGAGCCTCCTGTCAGCGGCGGACATCCAATCCGGCCAATTAATTGCATCGCCGTCGACGTTGTCCTCCATGAGCTGCTTCCTGTTGATGTTGTGATTTGCAATGTCGGTGTCGGTGAGATTCTTGATCAGCGCCAATGCAATGCTGCACAACTTCTCGACGTGAACCTGCCCTGCTTCTAACGACTTTCTCACCCTCTTGTCGGCTTTGTCGTGTGAGAATCCGTCCAGACAAGTCTCCTGAAATTAATTCAAATAGGTTAAGGATCGTTAAAAATTTAATTTATATATGGATATTAAATAAAAATGAGAGTAGACAACAATTCAGCAGAACTCTTGCTCTTATACCATGTTAATATCTTGAGTTTCATCTCAAAATTAGTTAGAGGGAGGACTTATATTATAAACTTATTTTATATTTTATATTTTCGACCTAAGATCTTTAAACTGTCCTTCAAAATAATACCAATTTTGTGTCCTATCTTTGCCTATTTGAGTTTTGATACCGTATTAAAGAGTAATAAATTGCTGAACATAAATTTAACTCATATATGTCTAACCAAATAAGAGATTAGAGAAAGAAATTAACATTTTTCTACAAATTTCAGAGGAATTATAGGATGCCCTGTTCCGAGGTCGTACCTGATTAGTGATGGCGGAACTGAGCAAAGTTTTGAGGTCGTCGGCGTGTTTGGACAGAGATTTCTTCTTGGGGTAGTCGTGGAGATTATCGACGACCTCATAGAGCTCGTTCAGCGTCTCGTCGGCGGTCTCGAGGCAGTCGTGGAGAGCCATCTTCTCTCGCTTGGAAAGATTCCTCAGCTTCGTGAGCTTCTTGATGCTGTTGTAGTTATGCTTCACGGCGCTGATTGTGATGTTCAGCGACACTTGGATTACGTCTTTGGGGCTTGAAACCTTCGCCGGAGTTTTTGCCACGGCTGAGGAAATCGTCGAGTGGCAGAGTTCGGGATACAGAGTCACGGCGCACGAGTTTCTCACCACCGCCGCCTGCTCGGCATTCTCCTTATGGCTGGCATTGAGTACTCCGGCGACAATGCCGATGACGGCGGCCAGGAGAAGCGTGGCGGAGAGAGCTAAGAGGAAGAGCTTCTTTGTTTTCTTGCCGGAGATAGAAACTCCGGCGTCGGTGTGTGCCATCGGTCTGTGGGAGGGTGAGATGTGTGGTGAGGAAGTTTGGCGAGAGGATTGGTGGGTTAATAACGCCATCAGAAAAGGTATTCGGGTCGGGTTTTTCCGTGGGCCCACATGAGTCACCCTATTTCAAAATAATAATAATAATAATAAATCAATTAATTAAAATATTACGTTGTATAATAGTGGTCTCCTAAGAAGCTAAATATTTAGAACTTGTTCCTATTTTTCAATAAATAATAATGAGGTGAATTTTGTATTTCTCATCATTAAATATTTGACAACTTATTATTATTTTAAAAAGAAAAATAATTGATTCCTTAACAATAACGAGCAACTTCGTCCTCACCACGACTAAATGTTTGACAACTAAGAGAATGAAAAACATAGGTTTTCCAAAAAAAAAAAACAATGAATTGTCAAACCATTTAATGGTGGTAAGTACAATATTTGGTCATCACCGTTAATGAGCCAAATATTTTCCTTTTAAAAATATATTTATTTTTGTATTTTTTTTCCTCTTAGTTGTCAAATATTTAACGTTGAAAATGACAAAGTTACTCCTCAGGTTTATGAACCAAATATTTTCCATATTTATTTTAGTCGCTATGATTTAAAAAAGTGATTGTAATGATCCATTTATTTTTAAATTTATCTCATTTTTTTAAATTATAATTTTAATATTTAAGAATGTTTTGAAAGTATAAAAAGTAAATTGGTAAAAATCCACGAACTCAAATTTTGTTTCTAAATTAAATGGAATTAATACCCACGTGGTACATGGCACCCCTGCTCACTGTCACAGCATTATCTTCCGTGTCTTCTGACATACAATGGTACAAAATTCAAAATAGTGGACATTCAAATATAGGTTTATATTCCTCGTTGGATTTTTTATAATGATTTTATCGTAATTCTGGAATTTTTTTTTTAAATTTTTAAAATATCTACTTTGATCTCCTTGTAAGAATTGTAGAACCATTTTCAACTTCATATAAAGAATGTATTAAAAAACTTTTTGGGGGCATTGAAAAAGGGAGGATGAGAAGGCGTGAGAAAATTGAAAGGGGAGGGCACTGTTTAAACGACTTTAAAGTCTGGAAAAGAGGGCACAATCGTGATTTGACTAAATCGATGGGATAATAAAAGTACTCAAGGGTTTAAGCAGAGGAAATTCAAATTAATTTATTAGTTTCTGTGGTCGATATTATTATGTCAGACTTAACGCTAACAGATTTATTTCTATTTATGATTTATTCAATTTATTGATTACTTAAAAAAAAGTATATATAGGAATCAGATTCTATAGCTAAAAGGCATGAATTTTATTATCTTGTTTATTTCTCCAAATGAATCCAAAGTGGCTTATGATATTATGGTCATCTAAAAAGTTGTGAGATTTAAGAGTGACGATGAATTTAGATTGGACTTAAGTGTTAAAATTCCTTTTTTTAGTACAACATTTAGGGTGAGGTTCGAACTTACCGTCTCTTAATTAGAGATATGTATCACCTTTGAGTTAAATTTGTTTTAGCTAACATAATTATTAATTTAAATACTTTTTAGATAATTTTTTACTATTTCCACATATAAATATAGTTTTAATTAAAATATTTGTGTTTGATTAAATTATTTTAGAAGTGATTAATGTTAGTCACTAGTCAATTAAGTTGCACTAAAAATATTTTATAAATGCTGATTGTCGGTCAATCACTTTAAAATAACTTTTTAGATAACTAATTTATTTTAGTACAACATACGAAGGTGGAGATTCGAATTCACGACTTTTTAGTAGAAAATATTTAGATAATCGATTCTGAAGTGATTATTTAAAACATAATTTTTCCCTTTGTTATCAAACCTTTTAGATAAAAAAAAATGGAAACGCATGGAAGTATACAAAGCAAACAAAACATTTTTCAATCCAAAATCATTAGATTAATTGTTCCTTAGTTCGTATAATTTGATTTCAGTAAAATTCTTAACATCAATGTTTTAATTGTTATAATATAAACTAAATTGATACAAATATACACATAAAACCAAAACATTCATATATATATTTGAAGCATATTATGGTAATTAGAGAGAGAAATATTTTATTTGGTGGACGGAATTCGAAGTTTGTGAGGAGCCGTAGCAATCAAAAAGAGAGTACAACCGCAGCTGGCGTTCTCTTTCAATGAGCTGTCGGTGCTCCGACGTCGCTAAGCGCCGTTGGTAATAATGCCGCTTTTTTCTACCCGTCGATGCCCCCACTGCCGAATGACACCATTCTTTAATGCGTTAATTTGGTTACGGTCCCGACGTGGATAACTCCACTAAAAATTTAGTAAAATTGAGAGTCAGTCGAAGTATTTTCTTTTATTTTTAGAGGGAGTTTTCCTAAATTAGTTTGGATTGATCGATTCAATTAGATTTAGATAGTCTTGATTTAATGGTTTAACCAATGTTATTTCTCTTATTTCAATTTTTTTATAACGACTTTCCTTACTTCAATTTGTGTGTACATAATAGGATAATTTCACCTCTGACATGTACTTCCAACGGTTTGATATCAAATTATGCATTAAATATAATTTAATACATAATGAAATTAATTTTGAATAACTATTCCACGAGAAAATTAACTATGGTGAATATTTTCGAAATGTTGCACACATTAAAAATTTTGATAGTTCCATACCTTCCTCCAGTAGCATGTGAAACGACTACTCCTTCAAATACAGTCGATTTGACACTTTGCTTGATACAATGCTTCAATTTTCTCCCAAAATTCTTTGACTTTCGAAATTCTATGCACATTTGTAATGACATTCTTAAATCTTATCCCGTTTGTAACCCTCAAATCAATTTCCTCTAAATCTTAATCGGTATGTTTGACTTCTTAAAACCTCTACTGGAATCAAGGGCCACCATCACCACTTAACTATTCAGAAGCACCACCGCTTAGTATTCCCTTCAAAATCTTGATAACTCATATTATATCAACACATCATTGACTTACATTGCCGCAAGCCAAAATTGATCATTTCATCAAATTTATCTAGGTCAATCTTCATTAAACTCATAAAAAATTTTACGACTTTTGAATGGTACGTCTATTCTACCATTTTGAATTTAGGTAAATTATTTTCAATCTCTTTGGTCTATTTTTTGGGAGCCATTTCAGAAATTATTTCTATTTTTAATTTATATGTTGCAATTATGTATAAGTAATATTTTCTTTTATAAATTATAATTATAATTTTAATTTTATAGAGTCTAAAATAGTCGTATTTAGAGATTAATTGTCTAAATTTCTTTTTCTTATTTTAACTCTACTCCATATATACTATGCAATTGAGGTCAATTTGAATTTAAAAGTGTACTATAAATAAATATATAATAGTTAGTAAAAAAGCCACCGAACAAAAAATATGTATCATTTGAATTTTATACAAAACGCCTTGAATAACATAAATTCCAGATTTGCCACTACTTTTGAGGAGCATGGTGATTAAATGATGTATCAATTTTAAAGAAACAAATGATAAATAAAAAGAAAAAAAAACATTTTAAATGATAATATTGAAATATTCAGCAGCAAAATAAGTGTCAGTCTATTTTATGACAGCAGCAAGATGAGTCAGCATGTATATAAACTTTTATTGAAATAAATGTTGAATTGTAAGGGTCGGGTGCATGAATCATGAATTCTTACCCTGAGTTCTCCTCCAGAACTATGACATTAAATATCCATCGACATAACGATATTTTCCTATATCCATAATTACGACATTAACATGATACATAATTTAACATTTTCATGTCAAAACGAGAATAGTTCAGCGATAATTGAAATATATATCTAATCAAAAGGTTGTAAGTTGATCTCTCATCCTACATATTGTACTAAAAAGATATGGACAGATGTAAATATAACATATTTATGAATAATTTTTAACTTATTGAGAAAGATGTTTAAAAAAAAACTTATTTAGAAATAAATACTTAATTTTAAGTTTAATAAGTTGTACGAATTTTTAAATTTTACGATCTTTATTTAAAATAATGCTTAAAATATATATTAATTATAGAAATTAAAATTATGTCGGATAAATTGACCGCAACGGCTAGTGGCATTGATTTTCCAAAAAATTAGGAGAAAAAACGGCTAGTGGCATTATTATGCATAGCACGGCTAGTGTCATTATTGAGCACACCACGGCCTATGGCTGGGGGCCTCAGGCTTTCACACATTTATTGGGAATTTGGGATCGTTTATTGAGATGGTTTTCTATGAGAATTTTAAGTTGGGATCGTTTAGATACACCTCTCCTTTTGAACTAAAAACATACACAAAATTTTAAACATTGATATCCGGGAAAATATTGATTTCGCAATAAAAATTTTTGATAGAAATATCGATAATTAATATTGATATGAGTAGATATTTCTATAAAGATAAAAATAATACATTTGTATAAATTTTAAGTTTCTAAACATATTAAAAATAGTTAATATTGATAGTATGTCTATATTAAAGACATTTTATTAATATTTTTTGTATTTTGTCTTTTTTTTTTTTCAATACTAGGAACATGTCGATTTATCCCTTATATTGATATTGGATGTATGGACGTATAAAAATATTGATGGAAATATTGATATGTTGATGGATATTTAACATACAAATTTTGTACTTAAATCTTAGAAAGAAAAATAATTCTTGAATTAAAGCACATGGTACCGTTTTTTATTTAGAAATTCCACTAAAATAACATAAATTTAATATATATACTAAGAAATGTCACAATATTCTTAAATATAGGATGAATGTGACTATTTTTAAAGGGTTTTAATTTATATTTTGTGTTTTTTTGAAAAACAATATTTATTTTATATTATTTATGTGGTCTCAATAAATAAATTATTCTAAAAAAATAATATATATATATATATATTTTAATGTTAGCGTGAGCTTAATTGACACACGTGTTTGGAACACCTAAAATCTTACAATTACATTGTATCCATATCATGATTCTAAATATCCTTCGATACGTCGACATTTCAATTGACATATCTATTTTTCATAAGTTCGACATTGACATGAGGGGTAAATCGATATTTCTATTATAGAACAAGAAAATCGACCAAATATGTAAAAAAAAAATATCAACAATATATACATAATATTAATATTGTTTATTTTTAACTAATTTAGAAAGAGAAAAATATTTATTTATTAATTTAAATATTTTTAACGATTTTTAAATTTTTCTAACTTTTACATAAATATCTATCGACATCTACATTTTATCGATATTTTCACATCGACACATGGATATTTAAAATTTTGATTTTGTTAGAGATAAAATCTTAAAAGGTTGTGATATATACTTCTAATAAAAAATTAATAAAAATAAAATCCTAAGACGCTGGATTTGAGCGCGAGAGCAATTTGACCGAAAAAGATATACGAAGTAGGTAATTTTTGGCTTTTTTTATTCTCCATAATCTCTCCTCCGTGATT